GCAAATACCATGACTTCACCGTGGTCAGAGGGAGTCACACCGCGACCACCACCACCACCACCTCGCTCTCAACGCGCTCGCCCCACCAACAGATCCCACTGCTGCTGCTGACGATGTACACGAGACATGCGGCGACCTTCAAGATCTGCTCTGACAGCCTCATCCCACCATCTGCTCTTACACTCACACAGAGACCCACAGACATACACAGAGGCCTATAGACTCACACAGAGGCCCATAGACTCACACAGAGGCCCACAGATCTGCTCAAGCAAGAGTCGTCCCCGGGGTACGGCGAAGAGGGCCGCTTTGGGGGGCCCCGCGCTTCGACGTCACGGTGGCAGACGTGATGCTTCCGGTTAAGTTTGAAGGCTTCGGGGGGCTCACCGTAGGATTTGCCCCGGGCCCGCACTCTCTATGAACGGCCCTGACCAGCACCGTCTGCTTTTAGGTCTTCTCTTCCCCTGGGTCGCCGGAATTGCGGAGGCCACTCCATTGGCTATCTGGGACCCAACCCCTGGGATCACCCCTGGTCCAGGCCTGGGCCGAGAGGGGAGACATCCAGGGGAGCTCGTCAGCCACAGCGCAGTGTCCGAGGATTCAAGCAGCAACCCGCAGCCTGGGACCGAAGCACGAGGCACCGACATGAGGTGCGCTCAGAGACACGACGGCGAGACACGACGGCAGGGAGATAAGTGGAGACAAGGGGAGATCAGGAGACGAGGCAGACAAGGGGACCAGGCAGACAAGTGGAGACAAGGGGAGACCAGGAGACGAGACAGACAAGAAGAGACCAGGAGACGAGGCAGACAAGGGGAGACCAGGAAACGAGGCAGACAAGGGGAGACCAGGAGACGAGACAGACAAGGAGAGACCAGGAGACGAGACAGACAAGGGGAGACCAGGAGACGAGACAGTCAAGGAGAGACCAGGAGACGAGGCAGACAAGGGGAGACCAGGAGACGAGGCAGACAAGTGGAGACCAGGAGACGAGACAGACAAGGGGAGACCAGGAGACGAGACAGACAAGGGGAGACGCGGTTCGACCTCGAGACTGGGTCACGGTGGTCGACCCTCGCGTCTTTCTCGAGTTGGACTCCAGGACGTGGCTCCTTGGCTCGCTCCTCGGGAGCTCCATGGAGACAAGAGGCGTGAGGCGATAGCGACCTCTAGTGGCCATGGACACAGGGACTCGGGAGCCGAACAGGGGGCGACAGACACGGGAAGAGAGATACAGAGAGAGCGGAGACACGGGGGAGACGCGGGGGAGACACGGGGGAGACGCGGGGGAGACGGTGTTGTACGTGTGCGATGCGAATATGGTGAAGGCGTGTTGGTGTCCGTGCTGTGTGCATGAGGGGCGATGGACATTGCGGATTTGTGGTGGGTGTGCAAATGTGCGAGACGTGTAGGTGATGGCGTGTGATGGATATGGGGTGTAGATGTGTGTGTGTGATGGATATGGGGTGTAGATGTGTGTGTGTGATGGATATGGGGTGTAGATGTGTGTGTGTGATGGATATGGGGTGTAGATGTGTGTGTGTGTGATGGATATGGGGTGTAGATGTGTGTGTGTGATGGATATGGGGTGTAGATGTGTGTGTGTGTGATGGATATGGGGTGTAGATGTGTGTGTGTGTGTGATGGAGCGGTTGTGAGGTGATGAGCGCGCTACGAACCCGAGTATCTGAACCGGTCCTCGGTCTCCCCTCGGCTGACTCGGGTTTAAATGGCGCTGCGTGTGTGAACACCAACACTGGGGAGACAAAGGAGGCCAAATGTGATAGCATTTGTCCCAACAGTGTGTGTGTGTGATGGCGCGGTGGAGGTGTGTGTGTGTGACGAGAGGGTGTACGTGTGTGTGTGTGTGTGTGTGATGACGGTGTGTGTGTGTGTGATGACGGTGTGTGTGTGTGTGATGACGGTGTGTGTGTGATGACGGTGTGTGTGTGATGACGGTGTGTGTGTGTGTGATGACGGTGTGTGTGTGTGTGATGACGGGGTGTGTGTGTGTGTGTGATGACGGTGTGTGTGTGATGACGGTGTGTGTGTGTGTGTGATGGTGTGTGTGTGTATGATGACGGGGTGTGTGTGTGTGTGATGACGTCACTCGGTGTATGTGTGTGATGACGGTGTGTGTGTGTGATGACGGGGTGTGTGTGATGACGGGGCGTGTGTGTGTGTGATGACGGGGTGAGTGTGTGATGACGGTGTGTGTGTGTGATGACGGGGCGTGTGTGTGTGTGATGACGGGGTGTAGGTGTGTGTGATGACGGGGTGTAGGTGTGTGTGTGATGACGGGGTGTAGGTGTGTGTGTGATGACGGTGTGTAGGTGTGTGTGTGATGACGGTGTGTAGGTGTGTGTGTGATGACGGTGTGTAGGTGTGTGTGTGATGACGGTGTGTGTGTGTGATGACGGGGTGTGTGTGTGTGTGTGATGACGGGGTGTAGGTGTGTGTGTGATGACGGGGTGTAGGTGTGTGTGTGATGACGGTGTGTGTGTGTGTGATGACGGTGTGTGTGTGTGATGACGGGGTGTAGGTGTGTGTGTGATGACGGTGTGTGTGTGTGTGTGTGATGACGGGGTGTAGGTGTGTGTGTGTGATCACGGGGTGTAGGTGTGTGTGATGACGGGGTGTGTGTGTGTGTGATGACGGTGTGTATGTGATGACGGTGTGTGTGTGTGTGTGATGACGGGGTGTAGGTGTGTGTGTGTGTTACGAGGGGGTGTGTGTGTGTGATGACGGTGTGTGTGTGTGATGACGGGGTGTAGGTGTGTGTGATGACGGGGTGTAGGTGTGTGTGTGTGATGACGGGGTGTGTGTGTGTGTGATGACGGGGTGTAGGTGTGTGTGTGTGATGACGGGGTGTAGGTGTGTGTGTGTGTGATGACGGGGTGTGTGTGTAATAACGGGGTGTGTGTGTGTAATAACGGGGTGTGTGTGTGTAATGACGGTGTGTGTGTGTGATGACGGGGTGTGTGTGTAATGACGGTGTGTGTGTGCGTGATGACGGGGTGTGTGTGCGTGATGACGGGGTGTGGTGTGTGTGTGATGACGGGGGTGTGTGTGTGTGATGACGGGGTGTGTGTGTGTTTGATGACGGGGTGTAGGTGTGTGTGTATGTGATGACGGGGTGTAGGTGTGTGTGATGACAGGGTGTGTGTGTGTGTGATGACGGGGTGTAGGTGTGTGTGATGACGGGGTGTAGGTGTGTGTGATGACGGGGTGTAGGTGTGTGTGATGACGGGGTGTGTGTGTGTGATGACGGGGTGTGTGTGTGTGTTACGAGGGTGTGTGTGTGTGTGATGTCGCTGTATAGCAGAGTGATGTCACGGCCTGCCCGTGGTGTGGGTTCGTGGAGTGACCCACTGCCCACCACGCACGTGTCTGAGACGAGTCTCGATCTCGGATCTCGCGTCCCCGCGTTCCGTCACGTGACACCAACGAGGCCATCGACACGGACGTGAGTGAACACGCGGCTCGTGAACACACGGGGAGACATTAGGATGCAAATGCGCGGCGCGGACTCAAGCGGTCCTAATCCCGCGCCGCGCCGAGACGCGGCTTCGCAAATGACTCTGTAAGCGACTGTAAATGACTCTCTAAACGGGGATTATGGCAGTCGCGCGCTCCGCGCTCCCCTCGCGTCATCCCCAATCCCCCTTCATCCCCGAGACCTCCTCACCCCGCCCCCCACATCCCACCGCGGAGCGGCCCCGAAATCCCCCCCGCGCGGCGCAGGCGAGTGAGCGAGCGAGCGAGGAGAGTAGCGGTCTCGCGCCTCCTGTGTCCACCCTCGGTGAGCCCCGACACTCTCCCCTCTCCACCCCGTGTCTCCACCCTGGGCACACAGGCTTCTGGTTATAATCTCCTGTCCCCCGCTGCTGTCTCCACCACTTTGCGGGTATCACAGGATGGTTCCCATCTTTTCGGGTCTCTATCCCGTTTCCACCCTGGACGATCAGAACCAGGTGAGAGGTCTGGACACCTCGAGTCTTGCGTTCCATGCAGACCCGAATAAAGCAACTGCATTCACCAAACGACGCGCGATAACTGCATGCATGTAGGGACATCCCCTTTGTCAATCTACTGCTGGATGTCACGCTCCTCCCCATGCTGTGTCAGACACGGGGAATGTTTGACCATTCACCACACTGGGCAGTGCGGGTTCGAGGGAGGATCTGGGGCAGGTTCAGATGTCATTCACCACTTACATTCTCGGCCGTAGCTAACCGAACTCGGGTCACCCGGGTTCATATCCTATTGTGCTACCCAGTGCACCACCGGTGCCCGCCCGCCCGCACGCACGCAACCCACATACTGAGGAGACACCACAATGCGCACTCGACGCGACCCCGAGTGCGAACAGATCGTCTGCACATTGAAGGCAACTCCACATTCGGGACCAGATGCACGCGCCAAACTACCCGTCAAGCAAGACTCCAACAACGAACCTCGCTGCACACACTCAAGCCCCGACTGCACCCCTTCTGGGGCTGCGCTGCCGTCACCACCATCCTAGTGTAATGTGAGGATATATCCGGGTTGCTGATGGATCACACCTCGTTACGATGATTGGCTCTACCGGTCCTGGCCCATAGCCAATGGGGGGAAGTCTAGGGGCGTGGCCCTGACGTAATGGGAAGGTGACATCTGTAAGTAGAGGATTGGATCTGCTGGCTTTAGCCACAGCCAATGGGGGGACGAGTCAGGGGTGCGGTACTGGGAACGTACGATGGAGTCTAGAAGATTCCATAGAGGTTAACCAGGATTGGTGGAAAGGTACCACGTGACCCGGGTATTAAAAGGGGTGGAGACAGCCAACACGTGGTCAGATCTGGAACGAACGGAGGGTGAGGCCACGCTGGAGCGGGGTCCAGGCTGCCACGTGGCCGCGCGCGTCTCTCTCTCTCCCTCTCACGCTGTCTGTCAGCAGCGTGAAGGAGTAAGATGGGAGTGTTGTGAACGAAAGACAAATAAAGACCGGATTCCAGAAGTCACTTCCACGACCTTTATTACACTAGGATCTCACCCAGATCCGGAGTAACGCTGGTAGGAGCGATAGCAGAGTGACACGGAGGCGACTGAGCGCCGGTGGGTGAGCGAGTGAGTACCGGAGAGAGAAGCCAGACTCTGTTGATGGCTGCCCTGCCACGTGTGTTTATTCAGCTCCATTGCCCTGAGCCGGGACCTAAAGTGATCCTGACGTGCGCGACCCCGCGTGTTAACCCCGACCCGGGGGGTGAGCCCCGACAGGACCCCCTGACCTTGTAAGTGAGCACAGCACCGCAGCAAAAGAAATAATATCAGCCTCGTTCAGCCAAGCAACGGGGACAATTGAAATTCGCGTCATCAAACCACGAGTGTGTACACGAATCGACTCACACGCAACGAAGCGGTCGTGCATTCACCACGCGCAACAGTCATGCAGCACAGCGGGCTTGTTGCGGCCCGCACATCCCAACTCCTACATTGCTCCACCCCGTCACGCACACTGCACATTCACACGAAGATCTCCCGGCTTCAGCAGACTGACACGAGGGGATGGGCGGTCAGCATCACGCCCAGCCGCCTTCGTTGCCCCAATAGCAATGTATACACATTGCACCGGGTACTCAAGTAAGTCGATCTAGGGGATGCCCAGAACTGGTTCAGATAATCGTTACTGGTGTTGGCCGTGAGCGAGAATAGAACTCGGGTCGCAGGGTGCCCCCCACACCACATCGCACCCCCCCCCCTCACGCCGCGAATGACGGCACGGGGATCCGCGTGTGCAGCTGGAGGCTGCCGGGCCCCTCGAGGATGAGCGCGGGGCGCGCGGAGCCCGGGCCCCGCGGCACGGGACCCCCCGCCAGCAGCTGGCCCCGCTGGGCGTCGTAGAAGCTCAGGAGGCTCCGCAGGGGGCGGTAGAGGATGCCCAGGCGAGTGGGGAGCAGCGGCACGAGCAGCTCCTTCACACGGCCTCCCTCCTCCAGCAATTCCAGCCTGTCCCGGGAGGGGGCAGTACACACGGCCACGTCAGTACACGCAGTGCACAACGCACACGCAGTGCCGGATGAAGCGAGTGCGGGGCCTGTAGCATATGTTATAGAGGGTCCCTAAATTAAAAAAACCCATAAATATTAAAACACATAAATGTTGAACTTGCATAGTAAAGTAATTTTAAAAAATCATTTGCTATACGGCCAGGTAATACGACAAATCGCTAACCTTAAAAAGTCGTTCGTAACAGTTGAAAGCGGTATAGTACTATAGTGATACAGCAAGTGCAGAATCACTGAACCGGAATTGACAGCTTGAAAGCATTGAGCGTGTGGCCTTTGAAAGTGCGGGGCCCGTAGCATATGCTACTTTTGCTACTAGGATAATCTAGCACCGCGTACACGCACAGTACACAGAATTCAAACAGTACACTTAGCCGAGTAGCCTACACGCGGTCCATCCAGAATACCCGGCACACGTGAGCACTCGCAGGACACGCGCAGTACCTGCTGGGCTCCCCCGCGTAGCGCAGGAGGCACGAGCCCCCTTCCTTCTCAAGCCCCACGCAAAACCCAGAGGTCGTGTCCACAGACACCTCCCAGTAGAAGGGGGCGCGAGAGGTGGGGGGCGAGGGGGACGCACCCAGCACCGACAGCCAGCAGCTGCGCGCACCGACACAGAGGGACGCACGGCATTGATGACAATGATGGTGGTCATTATTCAAGACCCAATCATCGCACCACCTCCTGGCTTTCACATTCCTCTTCTAAGACACCGATGGGACCATCAATCGCATCAGAACACCAACAGGCCGATGTGCATATCTCCATGAAAGACACAGCCACAGTGGTGCGATCGTGGCCGTGCAACCACCCGACTAATGGACCACAGAGTGAACCCACTGTGGTCTGCACTCCTTCGACGGAGGAGGGGAAAAGCAAAACGACACGAACTCGATCTGCAGAAGCCGTCTCATTGTGGCCAGCAGACCTCGACATTGGTATCGAGCTACTGAACCATATTTCCATACGCAAGAATATAATTACAATGATGATGATGGTGGTGGTAATTATGATGAGTTGACGGTGATTAGGATGATGATGATGATTGCAGGGATGGTGCCGATGAGAGTAGTCCCGCGCGCACCCATCAAACAGCTCTGGGTCTCCATCGCCCTCTTGGGCCCCCGCGTCCCCCGGGTCCCCGGGCTCCCCCGCGGGGCACGTGACGCGGGTCCCGTCCTCAGACACCCGAAGCCTCGGGTGCGCGGTCTCGGGGTCAAGGGTGAAGTGCGCACCTGGGGTGGGAGGGAGGTAAGTGAAGGGAGGAAGAATATTGAGATGGAGGCAGTGACGTTGCTCTCACACGCGGTCCCTCTGTCAGCATATTACAAGATGTTCGCGTTGTCACGTCCTCAATCATTTAAGGCCCTGTCAGTGTGGTGCACGGTGAGGAGGCCGTGTGACGAGGTGTGTGTGTGACCATGACGAGGTGTGATGACGAGGTGTGATGACGAGGTGTGACCATGACGAGGTGTGATGACGAGGTGTGACCATGACGAGGTGAGCCGTCACCTTGCGTCTCTATGATGAGCGCGCGGCCGGTGTCACTGGGCCCCGCGGCGTTGAGCGCACGCACGAGGAAGCGGTAGCGCTGTGCGGGACGCAGCGAGACGAGCCGCGAGCAGCCCTGGATGCCCGAGATGGTCCTGCAGAGGGGGCGGCATGAGGTGGGCACGGCGTGAGGGACCCCGCATCCTATCCCTCGCCTGAGCGCCCCAGGCCCTCCCCCATCACCCGCACCACCTCCCCCCCAATCACCTGAGGCCGCTGCCCTCTTCGCCATCGCCGCCCTCGGGGTCTGCGTGGAGCCGCGTGAACTCGAGCGAGAACGAGGAGACGGATCCCACGCCGCGAGACTTCCAGCGGAGCGCGGCGCCATCCGGGCACCACGCACAGTCCCGCTCCACGAACTCGGGGGCCTCGGGGACTGGAGCCACGGGCGGGGGGCACGGGGACAAGACGGGGCGACAGCGGGGGGCACGGGGAGCCGTGGGAGGCTCCTTCGCTGCGCCGCACTACCGCCCAACCCGCGCGTGTCGAGTCGCGTGCGTGTCGAGTCGCGCGCGTGTCGAGTCGCGTGGGGGTCGCACCTGTGTGGTAGACGTGCGCCTCGCTCGCGGCGCTGGCCCCGTGCGGCCCGTGGGCCACCACGTGGACCACGTGCGCCGAGTTGGCCTCGAGCCCCGTCACGACGCAGCTGCAGCACGCGCCGCGCACCCCCACGCTCCGCTCTGCGCTCGCATGCCACGGGGTTGGGGGTCAGACGGGTGCGCAATGCACCTCACCCTGGGCTGAATGTCTCAGGCTCACTCCGCGTAACCCGGCGAGAGCTCTCGAGATCAGGATAGCGGAGTCTCATTGTAGGAGTGACCAGGGGCACCAACATGAGTTCCGCATTGAGGCAAAGAGAAAAAAGTCGTGCGACCCCCCTCGAGCACCCCCCCCCCCCCGTTACCTGTGGAGTCCGGCCATGCCCCCCGCCAGGTGAGTGTGAAGTGGGTGATGACGTCTCGCGCCCCCACCCCCCACCGCACCGTGAAGCTGCGACTCGTGGCCCCGCCCTCCTCTTGGGGGCCCAGGCGGGGGGCGGAGGGCGCTGCAGGGGGGGGGGGGCTCATTTAACGGAGGAATTTTAAATTCATCACAATCCGGTGGATGAAGAGGTGTGATGAGGTGATGTTTGTCGAGGTGTGTGGTGATGAGTTGTGTGACGATGATGTTTGTCGAGGTGTGTGGTGATGAGTTGTGTGACGATGATGTTTGTCGAGGAGTGTGGTGATGAGTTGTGTGACGATGATGTTTGTCGAGGAGTGTGGTGATGAGTTGTGTGACGATGATGTTTGTCAAGGTGTGTGGTGATGAGTTGTGTGACGATGATGTTTGTCGCGGTGTGTGGTGATGAGTTGTGTGACGATTATGTTTGTCGAGGAGTGTGGTGATGAGTTGTGTGACGATGATGTTTGTCGCGGTGTGTGGTGATGAGTTGTGTGACGATGATGGTTGTCGAGGAGTGGTGATGAGTTGTGTGACGATGATGTTTGTCGAGGAGTGGTGATGAGTTGTGTGACGATGATGTTTGTCGAGGTGTGTGGTGATGAGTTGTGTGACGATGATGTTTGTCGCGGTGTGTGGTGATGAGTTGTGTGACGATGATGTTTGTCGCGGTGTGTGGTGATGAGTTGTGTGACGATGATGTTTGTCGCGGTGTGTGGTGATGAGAGGCGTATTGTGAGTAAGGAGATGTACAATGTCGAGGTGCGTGTGTCATGAGTTGTGTGATGATGAGGTTTGAGGAGGCATGTGTAGACGAGGTGCGTTGGCTGAGGCGTAAGGAGATGTGGAGGTGTGCAAGAAGGCGTGGAGGTATAACGAGGTGTGTGATGATGCGCGAGACGTGAGGAGGAGGTGGTGGAGGAGGTGGAGGTGGTGGAGGAGGAGGAGGTGGAGGTGGTGGAGGCGCCGACCCGCCGTGCAGGTGAGAGCCCGCAGCGCGCGCCGCTCGCGGGAGAACTCGAGGCGGAACTCGAGGAGATCGGCCGAGGTGCGGGGCTGCGGGCTCACGCCCAGGAACGAGCCCACCGCCTCCACGATCCTGCGCCGAGGACAGGACGGCCGACCAAGCCACGGGGGGGGGGGGGGGGCGAAGAGAAGAGGGGAGAGTTGGAGACGATGAGGAGAGACGTGGGAGGTGACGAGGAGAGGGTGGGAGACAAGGGGCTGGGAATGCTGTTGGCTACGTACGGTGCTAAAGAAGTTCGACATACAGGACGTACAGGAAATGCATTCATACAACTTACAGATGCAAACTAGATTCGAAGCTTTCGTGGCTGCAGGGATTACTCTTTGGTTCTTTCGGTAAAGTCACGTACAAATAAAATAAATAATAATATAATACGACGTTTGCAACACAAGCAACCATCATCAGGTACACATGAATGAGAAAACAAACCTAGTTAACTTGGAAATGCAATGCAACACAGAGAGATGCATACAGATGTATTATGTTGTATTTCTTTCGCACCGTACCTAACCAACCGTTCTAGAAAAATGAGTACAAAGATTATGCATAAGTACAACATACAGGAGATACACACACGTACACGAGATGCGAGAATTATATAGTGGGGGAAGACGAGGAGGAACAGACCTCACCTGTCATTTATCGCCTCTGCCGACTGAAAAACAAAACAAGACAATCATCAATATCGTCATTTGACATCGTGAACAAAAGCAACATCTCACGCGTTAAGGAGCGAGGCGTGAAGGCCGCTCTCCTTGGCCGGCAGCAGCTTCAGTCGCGGGCCACCCGCGCCCCCTGGCGGGCGAGGCCGGTAGCGCAGCCCCCCCCCACCGCGTTTACCGCTCCACGAGTGACCCAGTGACCCCACACGGCGCGCCAGCGACCACGAATCTCGGCCTCCCCAATCCGCCCGGCTCATCCCATCGGCCCAGAAGTGCCCCCCCCCCCCCAACTGTCCTCCAGGGCCCCCCTGCGCCCCCTGGGACCCTCACGAGCAGGAAGGGGACCCGGTCGCGGAGCCTCGCCGCGCGCCTCGCGGCGGCGGCGAGGTCCCGCGAGGCGGCGAGGCCGCGGCCGCACTGCAGCAGCTGCACGTAGAGGCGCTCCGTCTTGAGGCGGCGCTCCTCCTCCAGGAGCCGCGCCAGCCCCGAGTAGCGGTCCAGCAGAGACTCCATGAGTCCCGCGAGGCGCGAGTCGGCGCCCGCCTGCAGCCCCGAGTACGAGTCCTGGAGGATACGGGGCGTGAGATGATGGGTCATGGGGGGGGGGGGGGGGGGAAAGAGATGGGCCATGGGGGGGCATTGGGACGCGCACCATGCGATGGGACGCAGTCGGGGCATGGCTTGTCGCCACGATTGAATCTCAGGCGAAGCAGCCGGCATTAATCTCGGCCCGCCGCATCCATATCGCCTTCATTTGCCGTCAACCTGTTCAAATGGTAATAGGAACAGTGTGTTCTGTAATAATCCCGTAGTATACGAGTATAGTAGTAGTAGTAGTGCCTTACGCTGCTTTTTATGTTTAGTTGTCTTTCACCCGCACCTCCGGAGAACACGGCTGGTCACGTGCGACACGAGTTCAACATCCCTACCGCGAACCAACCCAGTCGCGTTCCAGTCGTGGCCATCGCCGTGACTCGAACGACCCTAACGGCAGAAGCCTCGAGGCGCGCCCCCCAGACACCTCGTCGTCCCCCCCCAGCCCCCCAGCCCACGCACGCCACCCACCTCCACTCGGATGAAGATGTCCTCCAGCTCCGCCACGAAACTCTCCACCCGCGCCGCCCTCGCCGCCAGCTGCTCCACGCGCTGCTCCAGCTCCGCCTGGGAGACCAGAGGCGGGGGGGGGGGGGTCAGCCCCGGGGTGCCGATCCTGGGATCACACTGGGCTCCTTGCGTGTGGTTTCTGGGACTCTTTCTCATATCCCCGTATTTGCACGTCTCCCTTTATCCCCGTGTCTCTCTTTATCCCCGTGTCTCCCCGTGACCTCCGTGACCCGTCTCCCCGCGCTACCTTCATGTCGTGCACCTCCTGGCCGAGGCCGCCCTCCGGCCCCGCTGGGCCCCCCGGGTCACCTCCGCGCGCCACCTGCTCCCCGCGGCACAGGGCCCACCCAGAGACCCTCGGTGGGGCCCAACCACGGCCCAGCCATCACCTGCACACTCGCCTCGTCACCATCCTTACGCGGGCATACTGCAATGACACCACCTCGTCTCCAGTATCATCCCTCATTGTTACCACTCACCTCACCGACCCTCACCTCGTTACTCAAATTCTCACTTTACCTCATCTGCTCCCCTGCATACCATCTTACGTCACCAAATTCACCTCGTCACTCGCCTCCTCAGCCTGTTGCCTCTAGCTATCTTCATTCCCTCCACCCCCTATCCGCCTCACCCACCTCATCATCCACCTCACCACCCACCCACCTCACCACCCACCTCATCACTCACCTCACCACTCACCTCACCACCCACCTCATCACCCACCCAAATAAACCACCCACCTCATCACCCACCCACCTCACCACCCACCTCACCACCCACCTCATCACCCACCCACCTCATCACCCACCCACCTCACCACCCACCTCATCACCCACCCAAATAAACCACCCACCTCATCACCCACCCACCTCACCACCCACCTCATCACCCACCCACCTCATCACCCACCCACCTCACCACCCACCTCACCACCCACCTCATCACCCACCCACCTCACCACCCACCTCATCACCCACCCAAATAAACCACCCACCTCATCACCCACCCACCTCACCACCCACCTCATCACCCACCTCATCACCCACCCACCTCATCACCCACCCACCTCATCACCCACCTCACCACCCACCCACCTCATCACCCTCGCCTTTTTCACGAACCTCACCCCCACGCTCATTCCTCCCCTGATCACCCACCTCACCACCCACCTCACCACCCACCTCACCACCCACCTCACCACCCACCTCACCACCCACCTCACCACCCACCTCACCACCCACCTCATCACCCACCCACCTCACCACCCACCTCACCTCCCACCTCATCACCCACCTCACCTCCCACCTCATCACCCACTCACCACCCACCCACCTCATCACCCACCCACCTCACCACCCACCCACCTCACCACCCACCCACCTCATCACCCACCCACCTCATCACCCACCCACCTCATCACCCACCCACCTCATCACCCACCCACCTCATCACCCACCCACCTCATCACCCACCCACCTCACCACCCACCTCATCACCCACCTCACCACCCACCTCATCACCCACCCACCTCATCACCCACCAACCTCATCACCCACCCACCTCACCACCCACCCACCGCACCACCCACCCACCTCACCACCCACCTCACCACTCACCCACCTCATCACCCACCTCACCACCCACCCACCTCATCACCCACCCACCTCATCACCCACCCACCTCACCACCCATCACCCACCTCACCACCCACCTCACCACCCACCTCATCATCCATCACCCACCTCATCACCCACCTCACCACCCACCTCATCACCCACCTCACCACCCACCTCATCTCTCGTTTGACTCCCAGAGGGGGGCCAACCCGGGGGGGTGCGGGGCCCTCCTGGCCCCCCGCGACCCGCGTGGCCGCCCGTCCCGGGCCCGTCCGAGTTGCTGCCGACGGCGGTGAGCTCCGCCTCGTCAGAGGCGACCTCGTCTCCCACCAGGGTCCCCGACGAGTCTCCCGCATCGTCTCCCCGTGGCCGCTCGCCCGCAGCGACCTCCTCGCCCGAGCTGGGGTCACTCCAGCCGTGGATGCCCGAGGAGCCGAGGGGGTGCCCCCCCTCCTCTTCCATTCTGGCTCGTGTCGTCACGACTGGAGCCGCTCGTCCCGCGTCCCCGACGTGAGGGGGAAGAAGCTGTCAGGACGACGCGACGGCGGCCTCCTCTACCTCTCACCTCCTCTACCTCTCACCTCCTCTACCCCCTCTACTTCTCTCCCCTCTTCTCCCTCTATCTCCTCTCCCCTCTGCCCCGCGTCTCGCTCCTTCTTTAGCTCTTGCCGCTCCGCCCAGGCTCCCTCCCTCTCCCCGCAGCCGCATTCCCAACTCTCGCGGCCGCTATTAATAGAGGTGGGGGGAGCAGGGAGGGAGCCAGGAGAGAGCGGGAGCCATGGGGGGAGCAAAGCGTAACCAGGAGGGAGAGGCACTGGGAGAGGCACTGGGAGCAGGCGGGAAGGAGGATCCATGGCGGTGGGGCGCCGATGCGTGATCTTTATTATCAAACCGTCACGGGCAAGAGAAAATGTAGTGACGTTTACTCAATTTGATTTCCAACGGGAGAGCGACTCTGCGATACTGGTGTAAGGTTCGCGTCTCTCGCCTGTAGCCAGCCGCGTGTTCACGACGAGGTGCGGCTGCTCAAGGCCCCTGGGCGGCAGCTGTCGTCCTATTTCAGCCACCAGCGTGACGCGGCCCTGCAGCCGCACGTTCGCCGCTCCTTGAAGAGATCGCGGTTCAAAACCAGGGTCCGCTCCGTTCAATAGTTACAAGAGTAGGGCATTGTGCCGGCATCATGGCCAATTTGAAAATTCTCTCGCCAATTATGGATTTGGCAAACGCGTCGTCTCTTCCCAATTAACACGGCTTCCAGACAAGTGCTGCCTTCAAGATGCATTCCCTGGCTTGTGCACGCAAGCAGCAACGCAGGCGACTGGGGGCATAACGTGTGGCCTGGTGGAACCGCTCGTCCAGCTCTTGTTGGTGAGATCCGGGAATGTCCCCAGCGGTTTTCTGCCGGGACAAGAAGAAGCAAATCGCGGCCTCCTCCCATGGTAACGACACGAAGGCCTTCTTGTGATGAGCTTCTCACATCTGTTGGGCAGGTGCTGCTTGGGAGCCAATTAAGTGGCTTATCGAAGACAGCGGTTCCCACCAACTGTTGCAGACACTACTATTTTTGGAACAGAACACCATTGTAACTGTAAGGTGGTTGGTGAATAAACACCGCGAGAGGTGACTGTGGTGTCTGCCCACAATGTTGAGAACAGCCGTTGTAAGAGCCATAACCTGCAGCACCACACACCAGACTCTCACACCTCCTCCGTTAAATTTATCGTAGCATTCTCATCAGCACCACCAGTCACACCACCGTTATGACAACCACCGCCTTCCACACGAGACTCGAGGCCACCGCGTCGCGACCGGCGTGGTTGTGCGTTACGACGCTTGGCGACACGACGGCAGGCACATATCTCACTCATGCCCGGAAGGCAACAGATTCTGACAAATCATTTATTCCATGTCTGTGGCTGTACAGTGTAGTAAGTAATACGGGCTATGAGAGTGTAGTTATATAAAGGGGAAGGCGGCCTTCGCGGCCCCAAACACAGCTTACAAAACCACGAGCAGAGCTTCGGCATGCAAGAGATCGACCATCGGCGAGTCACAGGACGTAGAAAAATTACACGTGTCACGAAACATCAACTCAATAAAAACAAAAAATTAAAAGAGAAACGGGAGTTGTGCAGCAAGCACTGGCGTTCGTCTGGTGCATCCCCTCCTCCTCCCCAGCCCACTGCCACCTTGCCCGCGCCGCCGCTGCACACGAGATGTTCGGGTAAGGCCCCCCCCCCCCCCCCCCCCGTGAGGGGCGCTCGAGGTGGCATGCACGGCACCCGAGCGGCGGGCCGGAGACGCGTGCACGGGACGACACGACGGCCGGGCGAGAGGCACGCGGCCCACCGGGAACACGGCTTGGTCTCACATGGAAGCTTGGCACTTCATCCGAGTTCAAGTATGCGTACACTACTAATGTGAAGATATGCGCAGAGCTCAATTCACCAAACTCAAACGTAGGTTTGGCGAATAATTATGTAGTGTCTCTCACCGAGCAGCAGCAGCAGGGACGGTATCAACCGCCTTGGCCCACCTATCAGCAACTCACCCCCCTCCTCCCTCGTCCACCAATCACAACAGACCCGCGGGGCCGGGGATGCACGCGCCATTTGAGGCTTTGTGGCAACTGGGCTGTAGTTAGAAACCTCCAGTCCCTGGCGCTCCCTGGCGCTCCCTGGAGCCCCCGGTCTAAGAGCCCCTTAGTGTCATGCAGTCTCGGCGAGGCCCCTCAAGTCAAGGCAAGTTTGTTTGTGTAACCAGATGAGAACTCAAGAGACCAGGATGAGTCTTATTTACAAGAGTAAGCTGGGTAATTTGTGCAACAAAACATTTCTGTGAGAATACAATTTGTTTGGCTGTCAGGTGAAGGGTCTCAACGACACAAACCGTGTCAGAATTACATCTCCTCGCGCCAAAATCTATTGCGAATCTAAATATTGGCTGCGGAAAACTTTTTCTTAAATTTACTTTTGATTTTCAGGGGGGCGATTACTCGGCAACACCTACATCCTGCCTCCCGAAGGCGGGAAACCCCCCCACGTAGCGCCCCCTAGGGGTGGTTTGACAATCGGCCTCTGGTCCTGGAGCCCAGTGCCTTCGGATGCAGAGTTTCCGATTACGTGCCTGGGTCGTCCCCCCACCGCGCACGGCCTTGCGCATTCTGACAGCAAGAGACCGTCCACGCCGAGTGAACTCGCCTTGTGGAGACGCGTCGCCCAGAGCCGGTCAACCGAGCTCTGGGGTGGCTCCAATTAGACTTTGCGAGGACCCAGCCGGGCACGGCAACGCACCAGCAGCCACTGCAGTCACCGCAACCACCCCAAGTGGGTTTCCTTTCACGATGCCACTGGCCAGCTGCCACCCTCACCACCACCACCACTACTGACCACCCAACGACCCCCATCGCCACACTCAGCTGGGGATGAGGCCTGTTCCTCTAACAAAGCTAAGCCTGTAGTGTAAAATAAGCACAAGTGAAACCACTGGTGTCTGTCCAACTGTAGCGCACGTTTCGGAGTAAGGAATGCATTCTGCGACGACAGCTGCGGGGGACTGCGGCTGGCGAGTGGAGCCGCCCTCCACTTCGGCTCCGACGCCGCGGACACCCCAAGTCTAAAAAGTCGCCAACATAAAAGCTCTTCATATCAGTTTTTTTTCTGAAACAATACAATATTACCATAACAGATACAGATTAACAATACAACACATTCAGAATTGGCAATTTTGGTAATTAACAAGGCAAATATGGATGGCTGCCATATATAGATATATATACAGTGATGTCTCGGCATTTACCATTGTACTCTATTTACACCACCATCACCACGAGGTCACGGTTTCCGAAAGGTCGGCAGTGGACGGCCACGTCTTCACGTGGGATCTAAGCGGCCACGCGCCAGTCTCATCGCCCGGGCAACCCTCCTAACGCCGGGATGACGGTGAACGAAGAGAGACCGAGAACCCACGAGAGAAAACCAGGAACCATCGGACACCGGGGACCAAATGAAAACCAGGCCCCCCTTGCAATATGGAACCCATGGGAACCAGATCCTCCAACCCACGAGGACGAGGAACCCACCGAAACCGTGACCCCATTAGAACCAGGGGACGTGTAAATGCGGAAACAGCTGCACGTGTGGAGCCGCGGCGAAGCGAGGAGCCTGTAGATGGTAACCGCCAGAACGCCGTCACAACCTCCATGTACAAAACCACTTCTGCACAATACCGCACGTCGCAGACACCGCCAGCAGACAAAGGGGCCACGTGCGCCTCTTGGCCGCACGGAACACCACGTGGCCTGTGATGACTCCCAATGGCCCGGCCTCTTAAAGCGGCCCAGCTGGCCCCCTGTACTTGGCTAGGGCCGGCGCCGCACCTCTGTTATTACTGCAGCTGGTAAGTGCCACTGCCAGTACCGCTTTCCCTCCTGCACTAAACTACAGCGCCACTGCCGGTACCGACCACCGTCAAAGAAGCCGCCGGTAGCGCCGGCTGGTTGTCACGGCCAGCCGGCGGACCCGCACAGCGCCCACATCCCTCTCCGCATGCTGCTGGATGGGAGCCAGTGAAGGCGACGACGGGCTGCTCGGCAAATGACCAAGCCTTCAGAGTTACGACGACACGTTCTGTGTTCAGGGCTCTTCCTCATTTTCTGATATAATGAAAGTCAAAGACTTCTGCTAACAATTATGCAAAACCACCGACTGGTATTACGTCACAATCGGCCAACTCACACGTAAGCAGCTATGGGCGCAAACTCCGAGAGGGGCTCCCTACGGCCTCCGCTTCGTCCCAGCTCAACCCCCCCTCCTCCCCCCAACTACGCCTCACGAGAGCACCCCCACAGCGTGCAGCCACCGTCGAGTCCACTTACTACAGAACTGCTAATCAGTTTAACTACAGCTCTCGCCACCACTACCACCGTGACCGGCGCTGTGCCTTCTCTACGCGACAGCTGGCACGGGAGTGGGACGCCACCCCCCCACCTCGCTGCTACAGCGGTACCAGAGAGAGCCTCCCAGCTCCGCACGCGCCCAGTGGAGCCGGCAGCTCGCACGATCCAATTTGACAACAAAACGATACTATTCACCAACAACATGTTCTCTACGGATGCCTCAGACGGAGTGGGTAAGAGGGACCGAGTCGTGTGGCAGTGGGGGGGGGGGCGGGGGACAAAGTGGGGGGGCACGGGGGGGGGGGCGGCGCTTCGCTCAGCGCAAAAAACAAGTGGCAACCGTTAGTCGTAGACACCGCCGCAGGGCGTTCTAAAATACTCAACATCTTATAGGTGTCAGGAAGGTCGATATTCCTCCGCTACAAAGTTTAAAACATGTCTAAAATGGGAATGAAATCCTCGTCAATCCTGAGCCCCAAATAGACCTCAATTAAATAAGAAATGGAAAGGATCGGACCCTAGTTTTCCTCGAGTGAAGCTGTGCGCGGTCGTGCATGCGGGGCGGTGGAGGCTTTAGTTTCTACGCTTGCGTCCACCAGCACCGCGCAGCACAGCTGCCCTCGCCACACCGGGTCGCGACCCCACCCTGCACCCCCACCCTGCGCCCCCACCCTGTGCCATCGCAGCCGCCCCTCGCCACCCGGT